TATAACAAAGAAAAACTTTGTGATGAAAATGTGCATACAGAAATCCATCCAGAACATACTTGTATATGAGCATGCCCAGAAGAGATGAGAAATAGATTAGAGTACAATAAAGAACATAAAGAGTCAATATCAGGAAACATTCTTTTTAAGTAAAGCTTTACAGGATAAAAAAGATGAAGTAATTTGTAGGACACATCCTTGACCTTATTGGTTATTAAATATTTCGACGACAAAGTCCACACTTTCTTCCATGGAATGTTGATAAACTGGCCATTCCAGTAGGACACAATGTACGGGAGAGAAGCAATCTCATTCTGAAATCGCTGTCTAATTCTCCTGTTCTGACCAGAAGAGTTAGATAAAAAACAAATATTCCCAATCATTGTATCAAAAGGATGAGCAACTGACAAAGAAATCTGGGATCTGGCTGAGTCTCTGAGAAGAGTTATTGCTCCATAAGGAATGGCATCCATTACTATAGCAAACTCTCGTGGAGTGACAGGTATGTTATACTTGTTCAAAAACTCTGAATATGAATACAAGTGTCCATCAGCATTTATTAATTGAGAGACCAAAATAAAATTATTATTCACCCAATCTAGGAAAAACAATGACTTATTTTTATAAAGAATATCACAATTATTCCAAATAAAGTACCGGTGAGGACCAAAATTGTGCTTATATATAAGGTGCCAGGCCAAAAATGCTTGTTTATGAAAATTTGATAATTTAAGGGGCAATTTAGTGATGTTGTAGTTGCATAACAATAAGAAAGGGAGAACTTAGTTGTCGTTTAGTGGTGACTGGTGAGACGTTTTCAGTGACCCATATTGCATGTTGCAAGTTTTTATTCATTTACAGACATATGGAGAACAAGTAATTTTGAGGAAACATGCTAAGTATCATGAATATTTGATAAATGCTGTGAAATTGATCAATAAATGTTATTATAACTTTTATATATGATATCCAAATAAAATTGAAATCAGATTTGTCAGCTTGCCTGGCAGGATTAAATATATTGTGTCCCTTTTAAAGGAAGAAACAATTTAGTCTCTTTTAAGAAAATATATACTTTAAAATTTAATGAATAACATTCTGTAAGCACCAGCAGCATTTTCCTTATGAAAAATAAAAAAGTAAGGCTTAGCACCCTGAAATTTACATTTATGCAAGAAAAATTTCGCTAGAAAAATAAACAAATTTATTAAGAAATATTGGTCCTTTGCATCTTTATCAAAATTGTGCTGACGAAATAAAACATAGTATAACAAAGAAAAACTTTGTGATGAAAATGTGCATACAGAAATCCATCCAGAACATACTTGTATATGAGCATGCCCAGAAGAGATGAGAAATAGATTAGAGTACAATAAAGAACATAAAGAGTCAATATCAGGAAACATTCTTTTTAAGTAAAGCTTTACAGGATAAAAAAGATGAAGTAATTTGTAGGACACATCCTTGACCTTATTGGTTATTAAATATTTCGACGACAAAGTCCACACTTTCTTCCATGGAATGTTGATAAACTGGCCATTCCAGTAGGACACAATGTACGGGAGAGAAGCAATCTCATTCTGAAATCGCTGTCTAATTCTCCTGTTCTGACCAGAAGAGTTAGATAAAAAACAAATATTCCCAATCATTGTATCAAAAGGATGAGCAACTGACAAAGAAATCTGCGATCTGGCTGAGTCTCTGAGAAGAGTTATTGCTCCATAAGGAATGGCATCCATTACTACAGCAAACTCTCGTGGAGTGACAGGTATGTTATACTTGTTCAAAAACTGAATATGAATACAAGTGTCCATCAGCATTTATTAATTGAGAGACCAAAATAAAATTATTATTCACCCAATCTAGGAAAAACAATGACTTATTTTTATAAAGAATATCACAATTATTCCAAATAAAGTACCGGTGAGGACCAAAATTGTGCTTATATATAAGGTGCCAGGCCAAAAATGCTTGTTTATGAAAATTTGATAATTTAAGGGGCAATTTAGTGATGTTGTAGTTGCATAACAATAAGAAAGGGAGAACTTAGTTGTCGTTTAGTGGTGACTGGTGAGACGTTTTCAGTGACCCATATTGCATGTTGCAAGTTTTTATTCATTTACAGACATATGGAGAACAAGTAATTTTGAGGAAACATGCTAAGTATCATGAATATTTGATAAATGCTGTGAAATTGATCAATAAATGTTATTATAACTTTTATATATGATATCCAAATAAAATTGAAATCAGATTTGTCAGCTTGCCTGGCAGGATTAAATATATTGTGTCCCTTTTAAAGGAAGAAACAATTTAGTCTCTTTTAAGAAAATATATACTTTAAAATTTAATGAATAACATTCTGTAAGCACCAGCAGCATTTGTTCTGTGTAGTGTACTATTTTTGCATCACAATATTAATGTTATTATATGATTTAAAATCCTTTTGCAGGCTAAAATAACATAAAAGTATAAGTGCAACAATCTGCTCACCATCTGACCTATGATATCCTATGACCTAATTCATGTAAATACATTTAAGTTTAACGTGGGTCCACATATCTTAAAAGGGGAGGAGGAAGCAGAAGCCCATCAGTTCCAGTTATTAAAGAATTAGCCATTAATCAATACTTCATCATAATACCCATGGCCGGACTTACCATTGGGCTTGAGTGGGCTGCAGCCCATGAGCCCCGCCTTGTAGGGGGCACCGCCTTTGCCCATTTACATTTGTTTGATTTGTTCGTTATATGCCAGTCAGAATTCAGAAATGATTAGCCGCATTTCCACTGAGCAGGCAAGATCTAAACGGGATCGTCTTACTGCCATTAGCCTAAACAGTGAGGAAAAATGTCATCAAAATTATTTTAAATAAAAAAGCAATTTAATGAGTTTCTGTTTTTATAACATAGCTATGCCTATGATATAGGACTTAGCCTATCACACAAACAAGAGTCCTGTTTTTTTTCCTGAATATCTGCACGATCGCAAATGTACAATAAACAACAACTTATAGAGTAACTTACAGACACAAAATTCCGTTTTGCTCCTTCAGAAAGAAAATAGAACAAACAGCAGAACAACAGTGTTTTGTTCCTCAGCGTTACACGGACCAGCAAATGATTCAATCAGGCTATAAGTACAGTCAGCTGAATGAATCAGCTTTTTAAACGAATCGGTTGATTCAACTCACTCATTAAGACAGTCACTTGCTGCCACCTACTGGCGGCTGAAAAGTAGCTCATTTCATTTTTGCAATCATTTAATATTTCTACATTAAAATTGTATATTTAAACTTAACATTTATGCACAATCCATCTATGAATTTTGTTGATAGTTATTTCATTTGATTGTTAATAGCCAGCATGTCTTTTTATTCAATTGAATTTACTGACTAAATAAGAACCTGACATAAGAGGACACAGATATGACAATAACTTTTATAATACTAATAAGCCAACATCTTTGGCTCTTTTTTTTTTTTTTTGCTCAAAGTTATTTCAGGGTTTTGATCTCTCAACTGAGAGAACACATCCTGTTTATTATATTATAATGACTATTTAATATTGCATTTCAACTTTGACTATAGCCTAGACATGTTGCATATTAATTGTATTATTTATGAACCTCAAAGCATATGTTTGTGTGTTTTGTGTTACTCCAGAATGATGTTCTATTTTAGGGCATTTGTAGTGTAGGTATAGGGCCCAAATATGACCTCTAGCCCAGGCCCCCGCCCCCCTAAGTCCTGCCCTGATCATAACATACTGCTGTGATTGTACCATCGGTAATATGTCTCCCGCCTTTGATCCCGCCTCACTCTGGTACTCCTCCTCAGCCTGATCCAGCTCGTATCGTATTTTGCAAAGTGGAGGAAAGTGGAGAGCGGACCACCTCCAGATGGTTCTCCTCAATGATGGTGGTGTATTAGTACACAGTGTTCGTGAATTGTGTACTACACACTCCATATCAGTCGCTTGTTTGTTATATTATCCCATGATATGACCTTTTTTTATTATTAATGCCAAGGTACCAGATATAAAAATACAGAGAATATCAACATTACATACAAAGAGGTGACATTACATGCAAAGCACCATTTATAGATGTATGTAACAATAAATAAATAATACAAAACCAAAGATTTAACAAAATAAATGAAACAGATTAAATAAATTAACCGTTTTAAAAGCCTTGAGATTCTTGGAAGATGAAATAGTTTGGATATACTGTTGAACCTCTTTTTTATAAACAATATATAAAGTGAATTTACTGCGGTGAATATGAAATTTTGCAAGAAGTAATAATAGGTTAATAATAAAATATTCATTAATTTTGTCTTTTTGTATATTAAAGAAGCCAAACAGTGCATCCTTAAAAAGCAGAGAGAAACCCTGGAGTACAGTGCGATTGATAACATTAGAAAATTCAATCCAAAATATCTGTGTGTGAGGACAATCCCAAAAAGATATGCATATCAGTTTCATTAGGGTCACCACAAAAAGAACAGCTTGTATCTATGTCTGATTTAAACCTTTTCAAAAACACTTTAGCTGGGTAAAATCTGTGTAACAATTTGAATGAGATTTCTCTAACCTTGTTAGTTATTATGTATTTCGAAGACAGAGTCCATACTTTTTTCCAATCAATATAATCAACCACATTCCAATAAGACATCACATATGGAGTTGTTACAAGCTCCTTTTGAAAAAGCGATCTAATCTTATAGGATATGACCTTCACTCCCTAATATTTGCTATCAGAAAACTCCTAAACTTCAGGCTACCAGATTTTTTCAAGTATTTAAATACTGTAATAAGCGGCACGTTCTAACAGTCACATAATTCTAAAAAATAAAAATATTTAATTTTGCTTGAAGTACCAAAAAAATAACGATTTTTTTTTCAGCTGATGAACGATAGAAACATCGACACCCAATCAGAATCAATCCTGCTGTCTCGAGCTCGAGAATTTAAAGCGGCAGACGAGCATGGCAGCATGCGCTCGTTCGCTGGTGTGGACGCTAATCTTTATAGTTATCGTTCTTGGTATATTTATATTGTATAAATATAGTCGCGACGGGCTACTTTAAGTTTTGGACATGTTAAAACGACAAAGAAACGAATGAATGAGAAAAAGAGCTGAAAACGGCTCGATATTAAAATGAGTTAAGCTCAACAAGCCGCTAAAAGAGCAGCCATCTTTTCCGTCCTGGCACGTAGGCCTATTCACGTAAACACATCAATATCATTGTATAATGCTCAGATTTTTCTGGTACCATTTACAAAGTAAAGCAACAGCACTTTTGCAAAAGATAGCCCTATATGGGGGAGTCTAAACCTGAACAAACAAACAGTTGATGATAATGTCTTTCAAGTGGGGCCAATTGATTGTGTTAATTTCACTTCAATCCAGCTAAAACTCGTCTGAGAGTTTTGGCTCAACACTGTGCCAAAGAGGCCAGAGTCCGGCCTCTGGACAAACAATCAAACATTTAATCTGTGAGGTCATAGGTTCACCACCAGCTGCAGACCAGTGGACAGATCATTTGTTTTTCATTGTTGTAGTAGTCAAAGCCCAGAAAGATTCTCCACTAGCTGCACAAGGTATCACAGGATGGAAGCTGGGAATTAATGCCTCTTATGCTGACATGGTTTATAACAGCACACCAGGAATGGAAGGAAAAACCATTCATCTCGCTTAATCGGATATTGAAGCATTTTTCTCAGAACAAAGCATTGTGTAACAGATTGTGGCTGGATATTAAGTGGATTCCAGGCTTCTTAGGACAACTAACTGAAGAAAAGGTACAAAATGCATTGAAAGCACGCAGAAAGAGAAAGAATGATTTTGAACCCAGTGAAGAAACTAACCAGCAGAAACATCTCACTCAGCTGATTTCATCATGTTGATCAGTAAAGCCATGGCTTGGAAATGGATCAAGACTTTTGTTTATTTGTCAATGTGCATCACCTCTGCTGTGGGTAGGTTCAGTTTAGTTCAATATCACATAGAATAAATCTTTAATTGTTCCAATCGTATTGGGTAAATGCACCACACCTGAATTCAATCTGCAGTTTTTAGTTAGTAGTGCAGATGTTTATCTGGAGAAAGAGAAACACTGAAAACTTAAGTTATAGTGTGTCTGTAGTGATTCACTGACCAGCATTTGTTAATATAAGTATGTACAGAATTTGTAGTGATTTTAATGTTTACAAATCCATTGATTCATTGAAAGCCCAGGAAATTAAATTAAACTAAACCAGACCATTTGACCTCTTTAAAATATACACAGAAGCACACAGAGAAATACAAAATGGAGGTACAAAATCAAAACTATATCAAAAATAGCATGTTGAATTGCTCGGATCAAAATAAAAAATGCATTACTTTAGCAGTACTTGTATTTTTGGTGGCGGCAATTTACATGTTTTTAAATGTATTTGCCTTCCAAAGTTCATTCCCAAACTATGCAGCTTTTGAAAATACCTTATTTAATTTTATACCTTTACTTAATATAATCTTTATTATTTAATATATAATATTTTACTTTACAAATTCAATTATACAAAGTCAAACTTACACATCTGAGGACAACAGTGTCTGGTGAATCCGGTGAAGCCACCAATTACAGGTTAAAATCCCAACTTGTTTGGCATACTCATGAATTCCATGCATACAACTTTACAGGTAACGAGGAAACATCCCCAAAGTGTGCCGACTTCAACAACACCACTTGGCTGGAATACAGGCAGGGCACCAAGCTCCAGGTTCAGTACCTTCTTCTTACACGAAAGAATGCAGACTGCGCCAGCCTCTTCACACAGGACTGCCTCAACCATACTCCGAAACACACGGCTTACTTCAACTCATCCCTCCCCACTAAAGTCATTGTTCATGGATACAGGTGAAGCATTTAATCAGCAGCATTTTATAATAGGAAAGCATGTGAATGACCTTTTACACAGATGACTCTTTGATATACTGTGTTTCAGGGCTCTGGGCAGTAAGCCTTCCTGGGTGAGTGGCTTAGCCCAGGCTCTACTGCGGGAAGAGGACGTGAACGTTCTGGTGGTGGACTGGGTCTATGGAGCCTCCTTTGCTTATAACCTGGTGGTAGAGAACTACAAGGAGGTGGCAGTGCAGATATCAGTGCTTATCAATCAGCTTACGGTAAAAGTCTCAGTGTTTTGGTCATGTCCAAGTAGTATAGAATCCATTGTTGTAACAGAACAATACTAAAGGCTAAATACTGTGAGCCGTGTCCATTTAGTATAAGTAATAAATATAATAACATTTATCAGTACACAGAGAATCACAGTAAATGCATAGGAAGTACATTTTTGTTGTTGTTGTGTTTGTGTCTGTTGTAGAAATATGGAAGCACGCTGGAATCTTTTCATTTCATTGGTGTGAGTCTTGGAGCACATGTGTCTGGATTTGTAGGGACCCTATTTGAAGGCAAGCTGGGTCGAATTACAGGTAATATTTTAATAAAATTCCTAAAATATATTAATATACAGTGAGATCCAAAAGTAAGAGACCATATTGAAAATATAGGTTTGAAAATCTTCAAAAGCTGTTATTGAAGCAAATGCGGACATAACATATACAATTTAGCAAATATATTAAAATAATTAAAATAATACAAAAATTATCTGTAAACAATAAAAATAAATTAAAGCAACACTATATAACTTTTGGCGCTCTAGGTTAATAAACAGAACTGTACGCATCCCGCGGAAGAACATTCTAACCGGAGCTACTTCTCCAAGTTTATGTCTATGGCGATTCACGCAGGAATGTGTTACTCCGCAGCGGTGACGACCCGAACAGGCTACAATAGTCTGAATATAAGCACTTATTATAAGTGTACCGTAGTGATTCGGGATAAGACAAACAGGCGGCTTGGAAGATGAATTCATTATGTACTCGCTCATTATATACATTTTGCAAATTTTGAACACAGAAAAGTTACATAGTGCTGCTTTAATATATAATTAAATTTTGTCCCAATGAGACCTTTGAAGATGCTACACTTGTAAGTGGAACAAAGACCAACACTGCACCACACTGAATGAGGCTTTCTGTCAAAAGCAGAGGCTGCAAGAGCACTTCAAACAAACAATGAGAAATTGTTATGCCACACAGCCTTGGCGAGAAAACAAGACCTTGTTTGACCATTTAAAGTGTTTCAAATTTATGTGGAACCCTAAAAGTGGCTAAATGTGAATCATTTAGTATAATGCAGAACATATATCTGAGTTTTGTGCCCTCAGGTCTGGACCCAGCAGGCCCAATGTTCAAGAGTGCTGATCCATTTGACCGTCTGGATTCATCTGATGCTTTGTTTGTTGAGGCCATACACACTGACTCTGACTGTAAGAGTGAATCAGTCCTTTTAACTTTTTTTTTTTCAAGAACACTCTAATATTGATCTGGGCATGTTTTTTGACAGCTTTATTATCTTGATTTACTATCTAACTGCAAGATTTTGTATAAGTATACCATTGGTGCTATTTTCAGTACAGAAGTACAGATTATTTGTACACAACTGAACTGAATATCTGTGCATTTGCCAGACTTTGGTATATCTATTCCTGTTGGGCATGTGGACTTCTTCTTAAATGGCGGAATGGACCAAGCTGGTTGTGCACGCTCAAGGTTTGCTTCAAGTAAGGGGACAACAAAAGCTGTGACATTAAGCTAAATTAAATGTACCATAGCTTGATGATGAGAATCTGTCCGTTTTTATCTACTTTCCAGTGTATGGTTATGTCATTTGTGACCACATGAGGGCACTGCACGTCTACATGAGCGCCCTGAACAGCTCCTGTTCCCTTATTGGTTTCCCCTGCCCCAGTTATGAGGGCTTCCTGGCAGGAAAATGCGTCACCTGCGAGGGCCCCTTCAATGGCACATGCCCGCAAATAGGTAATGATGAGTAAGCAGAATGTTTTAAAGGAACATCTTTTTAGAAAGTGTTTAAAGAAACATCTTTGTCTGTTTATGAACACACATAATGTAAAAAAAAAAAAAAGGAAAGGTTTTCATATTTACCAAAGTATTTAAAAGTAAAAAGTGAACTTTTTTTCAGAATAATAATTCTGAGGGGTTTTGCATGCTAATCTAATCTTGAATGGTTATGACCTTGATGTTCTAGTTCATTTAGGTGTTCAATCAGGCTTTTCTTTTGTATACATGAATGTCTTACTCCAACTGGACAATGTATCACTTGAGGCTGATTATGTAACAACAGGATAATGTTGTTTCATGTAATGTATGACGCAAGCCTTGTCCAGGTGTGCTCCTTCACTGTCTGTTTTTATATGTGTATGTATTTCAGGCTTGTTAAAAAATAGTGGGATAACAGCTAATCCCCTGCCAAATCAAGAGAAGGCCTATCTCCTGACCACTGCTACGGCTCCTTATTGTGGTGTGTATGATTTTGTGCATATTGTCATTTATCAAAAGTCCACTCTCACAGATAATGTAGGTATTAACCAGTGTTGGGGGTAACACATTACAAGTAATGCGAGTTATGTAATCGGACTACTTTTTTGAAGTAACTAGTAAAGTAATGCGTTACTTTTTAATTTAGAAGGAAATATCAGAGTTGCTTTTTCAAGTAAGTAACTAAAGTTACTTTGTTTCCCATGTATTGACTGACAGCTCTTGTGTTGCCATATTGAGAGAAATCGGGAGTAAGTGCAAAGGCATTGTGTGCGCTGTGTAAACATGATGTTACTGTAGTAGACTAAATGTGAACATGCATTTACTCATCTCACCTGCACAAAAACAGATTCAGTGTTCCTCAACATAAATAAAAACAGTCAAATGCAAACTCAGAATATTACACAAACCTGCAATAATTAAATGTTAACTATAGAAAAACACCATTTATGTATTTAATCTCATTTTATTAACCAGTGTCTTTGCTACTGACCTTCGATGATCCAATTCAACCATACTAAGCAAAAATAACACATTTGTGTTTCATTTTTGTTATTGCTGAATAGTGTGGACTTTTTTTTCTCCTGCATCATATTCTTCATGCAATTTGTTTAGGCCGCGTCCTCTACTGTACAGACGTGAATTTACATTTCCTTCACTTCTGGTGTGAAAGGGCTTTTACTTTTGTAAAAGAAGAAATTTTTTTATATTTTTTTAAAAGCAAGCAAGCCCTGCGCATATTTAAAAAGTAACTCAAAAGTAACAACGCATTCCATAAAAATTGACTTTTTTACTTTAATTAGTTTTTTTAATGAACGTAATTACTTTCTTTTTTTAGGGAGTAATGCAATATTGTAATGCATTGCTTTTAAAAGTAACTTTTCCCAACACTGGTATTAACAGCTTGGTATTAACAGCTTTTTAGTAAGGATGCATCAGAGTGATCAAAAGTGACAGTAAAGTTTTGTAATTTTACATTACAAAAATTCCATTTAAAATAAATGCTGTTGTTTTGAACATTTTATGCATTAAATAATTCTAAAAGACAGTGTAACCGGTTTCTACAAAAAATATTAAAGGGATAGTTCACCTAAATATGAAAAGTCTGTCATTAATTACTCACCCTCATGTCATTCCAAACCTGGACTATATTAATGATGTCCTTACTACCTTTCTGGGCCTTGAACGTGGTAGTTGCCTTGCTGTCTATGCAGGGTCAGAAAGCTCTCGGATTTCATCAAAAATATTTTAATTTGTGATCCGAAGATGAACAAAGGTCTTGGAACGACACAAGGGTGAGTAATTAATGACCAAAAAAAATCATTTTTGGGTTAACTAACACTATAAGCAGCACAACTCTTTTAAACATTGATAATAATAAGAAATGTTTCTTGAGCAACAAATCAAGATATTAGAATGAATTCTGAAGACTGGAGTAACGGCTGCTGAAAACGGTTATTTAAGATTGTAATAATATTTCAAAATGTTACTGTATATTTGGTAAAATAATAATGCAGGTTAGCATAAGAGACTTCTTTAAAAACATTTTTAAAAATTTTGTGTATTACTCTAAGAGTTTATAAATGTGTTGTTAAATGAAAAATACAGCCAAATAATCCCACTCATGCCCTCCTACTCTTTTTCAGCGCATCACATCCTAGTGGAATTGAAGGTTTCCCCTTTAGACAAGACTGCTGATGTTCAGCTCACCCTGATCTCTGTGGGACACCCAGAGACAGAGCTGAAACTCAAACTGTATGTATTATATTTCCAACAAGCCATAGCCTGTGTTCTTTTATTGCATGTTTACTCCTTTAACTGTTTAAATCAGGCATGTGAATATCTTTGTACATATGTATTTCAGAAATACAGATGAATTGGTGCATAAAAAGGTGGCTGCACACCCAGAGCAACTGTGTAAAATTGACTCCGTGCAGATGAAAAACACAGGAGCACGATTCTACAGACAAGGAGATATTCATTTTGAGTATATCTGCATCTCTGAAGTCCCTCGAACCAGGTAAATGCAGCCACAATGTTTGCCTTTAAACTCTTTTTCTCTTTCTGGGTACTCATTACACTATATGTCCCATGTAACACTGCATTTAATAATACTGTATTTCTGTTCAATTTGCAGAGGGCTGGATCCATTATGTGTGAAGAACATTAATATTGGACGGGGAGTGCCATGGTCACACGACTTTGTACAGTTGTGCTAAATTAAAAGAACAACACAAAATCTACTTAAGAGAGCTTGTACGTAAGTCGTAAATTAGTGAGACTCAAGCGAAGGTCACACACTAAAACTTGGGATGGGAGGCATTAAAGCTTGGCGACAAAGACATAAATCGGATACAAGGGGACTGAAATGCTTAAACTCTGTTAGATATATTTATTCAGTTTTAGCACTTATATAATGTACAATATTATTTTTGTGTTCTGTTCCAGAGAGTGTTAGTGAAATATCAGCCAAGAGGAATCAAGTCAGTCATTCAACACTCAGTAGTTCTTTTGTGTGTTGAAAGTATTGGTTCATTATCAATGATTAAAATGTTTGGAGTGGTGCAATACTCAAGGTACTTTTCATTATTTTGGCACTCTTGATTAGCATCTCTAACTGCATAGGGCATTCTTGATATTAAATATTCAAATCTGTTCATTTACAATTAGTGATAAGTCACATTTTGAACCCAGCACTTAACAATTGGCCCCATGAAAATACATTTTCATCAAATGGTCAGTGTACAGTCTCAGAAAATGATGCTGAAGCATGTACTAACTTCCTATTATGATAAAGCACACACTTTTGTAATAAATCTCATTATCTATCTAATATAACTCTGAAGTGCTGTTAAAATTCATTTGTGTTTGAAAATCTAATTTGTTGCCTGTCTCATGTATTCCAAACAGATTTAAGTACTAAGCACATGCCAATACAAATAAAAATAAAACATTTTTATGTGTAATGTGGAATCATATATAACAGTATCTGTTTTGGGAGGTTTGATCTTTTGTCATGTCACTGTCCAAAACAAAAGGACATTTAAAGAATATGTTTACTGTGCGGTGTTAATGTTGTCTTCCTTTGTATGAGGGGAAACAGATTCGATGGTGATTTTGGTGGAGGAATCGTTCAGATGTTATGGTTTTTACACTGCTGAAACCATTCCTACAGCTTTGGGGTGTCAGTAAGGGCCAGTGGGGCACCACCTCTTTGGAATCGAAGTCTTCCTGGATTATCATCCTGTTAGATTTATGGAAAAAGGTGACACATTAAAATGTAAACCAGCCTTCTCCTAAGCATAGAAACATCTATCAAAAAATATCCTAGGATGGAAACACTGAATATAACTCCACTACCATGTACTAAATAAAACTTTATCTCTCACCCAAGGAAGCCTTTTCCTCTTTCCAGAATGCACATGTGTGTTAAATGAGGACATACTTTGTGTTGTGTTTGTTAAAGTTGAAGATACTCTAATTATTACAGAACACACTACACAAATTAATGTAGAAATAATGACTATTAATTGCATTAAATCATGAATGGTATCAATATAGCCCATTAATAATAATCATAATAATAATAATATGCCTACAATGTAAATTAAAGATATTTATTATTATTTTAATTAAAATCTAATTTTAATTACATTTTAAATCAATAGCATTATCAATATAATTATTATTACTAGTACTATAGGCCTACAATATAATGTAAAAACAAAACTCTAAAAAATGTAATGTAAAAAATTAAATATAAATGCATATGGTATTATGTAATATTATTATTACAAGCCTAAAATTAAATCAATCAAATTATATTGATAACACTATTCATATATACAAGTATATAATCAATATAATCATAATGAATTTAATAAAATGACAATAAAGATTTTTACAAGCCTAACATTAAATTATGCAAAAAATTAAATATATAAGTGAACAGTTTTATCAATATAAATCCAAATAAATTTAATAATAATAAATTATAATTAAAGCAGTATTCTTCTAGCATATTGATTTTCAATATAATTATGATACGTATTTAATATTATTATATTAACTGACATCCCTTCCTTGCATATGAATTTATCAAATGGCAGTAAAGTCATAAATATAATCCAGGTCAAAAACAAATATACACTATAACAACTGATCATGCATATTCATCACTCTGCATTCTCTTAATCAGTCATTGTTTGTGCAGTTCAGTGTCCAGTTAGTGCAGTTGTGCCTTTTCATGCAAACCAGCCCCATCTTTACCCACCCACCCATCAATCCTTCCTTGTGTACTTACATTGTGATTTAAGAAGTGTCCCAGTGTGTTAGCGTCAACACCCCAACCTTTACTTCAAATAATCTCTCTCACTCCCATAGTCCATTAGAGAGCCTGTCATATCAGCAAAGTCCTCCAGAACCAAGCTTGTTGAATCCTCACCGGAGGGCATCTCGGTGTCTGAGGGCCAGAGCTGGTGTGGCGGTTTGGGCACAGGGGTCTTTCCCTGGTCCGGATGGACGTTTCTTGCTTCTAAGGCCTGGTTAGACTGGGCTGGATCAATCGGCATGACTGTAGCATCTCCTTGGCTCCCCCTGGGCGGTGAACTAGCACTGCCACCCTCACTGCCCTGTGGCGAGGGGGCGAGAACGTGGTAGAGACTGAGCAGACGGATATCAAGGCGCACACCACTCTTGGCAAACAGCTTGTCATTGAGCGAGTACAGTTTGTCAGCAATGTCACTCCCAAGCATGACTGAGAAAAGTCGGGCAATGTAACGATCCTTAGACAGCAGAAGGTAAAGCCGACGTCTGCGCCAAGAGATGTAACGGCAGTCCGTCTCTGCGGTCAGTGTCACCTGAGGTCAAAAGGGTCATGGGAAGTTTAAGGGGATGCAATATTTCATGGTTGTATGAACACTGAATAATTTTGCTCAATGGCACAGGCTAAAAGAAGTTTCCTAGATGTACCGGATCACATTGGTACTAATTATAAAAACAGTATGTTATCGTACCTGGAAGTTGCCCTCCTCTGTAGAATCAAGAACCATTCTGGAGAATCAAGAAACTGGTGCGGGAAGATATAATGGAGGAACTGACCTTCTAAGGACACTCTAATCCTGTAAAAGCAAAAGATCTGGTTTTAAACACAAATGCTAAGTCCTTGTACCTTTTGTATTCTTGTTCGTTTAATATGGATTTGAAAAACATTTGTAACATTTTCAAGAAGCATGAAATGAAAATTCACTCTAAATGCACAGTATTTAGAGTGAAATACATTACAATACAGAAAAAAGATCGGTCGCTACTTCAGTTTTATCGCAAAATGTAATGACTAAAAATGTAATACGGTGTAACCATCAAGTAAAAAGGAAGAAAAAAAAAACATTTTAACCTTAAATACATATGAGTGTACACATCTTAAAATAAAATTAAAAAAAAAGAAGTTTAACATATTTTAAATCATTCAAACATAAATTAATCATTCAAAAAAATATATATATAATAATGTTTTTGGGAAGTTTCACCACATGACATTTCACAACCTAACCTATCCTTAAAAAGGTCAAATAATCTTACATTTTAAGAGACTTGTTGACCTTGACACAGTCATGAGGTCTGCAGGGGTCCATTTCCTAAGTAATATTTTTTTTCTTTGCAACAAGATTTGGCACACAAAAGTGTTTAATTAAGCAGCGGAGAAGTTTTATTAAAATATTTTATATATAAAAATAAAATGCCTTATTTATTATGGCTTACAACTACCATTGTAATTTTAATGGACTGTATGTATTAATCACATTTGTACTTTTTTTTTTTTAATTAATCAAAAAACATTGACCCACAAAATATTTTTTTCCTGTTAATTATAGAATGTTGCCTTAGTATTGTGAGCTACTGCAAACATTAAATATGTTACGGGGCTGACAAGACTTGAGACGTGCGGATCCATGTGCAAGCTATTTATTAGCAGAAGACAGAGACGTGGTCTTAGAACAGGCATGGGTCAGAGAATGGCAGACAGGTATAAAGGCGGGCAAGACACAAGAAGAAACCTAAGGCTAGAGGAGGTCAACAATCGGCAAACAGAATCAAAGGGGCGAGACTAGAGGGATAAGTCCAGGTACAAGGCAAGGTCCAGGCAGGGGCAAACAGTATCAAAATGAGAGGAGGAGCAAATAGGGCATAGGGCAAATGAGAGGAGGAATCCGAGAGACACAGGCGAAGATCAAGAAACGAGAACACAGACAAGGCAAGACTGCTTTGGAAACAGGAAACAGGCTGCAAACAGGCTGCATAGTGTAGCTATCGCTAGGGGAGTGATAAACACTAAACAATACTCGGCAGAGGGAAGGGATCAGAGTGAGTGTTAAATAGGGAGTGAGTCATATGAAACAGCTGTGTGCAGTCAGTGCTGTGTGCAATCAGTGCAATAAATGATGGGATATGTAGTCCGGGGTGATATGCAACAGGGTGTAGTGCGAGAGTCAATTAAAATGGAAAGGGTGACCTCTGATGGCTAGCAGACGGAAGTTCATGGACCGGATTCGTGACAGAGCCCCCCCAAGGAGCGGCTTCCAGACGCTCAAAACACTTTACGATTCCGGAGGGCGGTGGAGTGGAGGCGGAACAGGGAGAGGGATGGAGGGCCAGGTCCACCTGGAAGTGGAGAGACCGGGAACTGAGGCAGAACCAGCGGAGTAGAGAGCCAGGGCGAAGCCGGCCCTACAGGTGGAGCAGTGAACCACCAGAGCCAGACAGCAGACCACCACGGCGGAGCAGAGGACCACCAGAGCCAGACAGTAGACCACCATGGCGGGGCAGAAGACCACCAGAGCCAGACAGACCACCACGGCAGAGCGGAGGACCACCACGGCGGAGCAGAGGACCACCAGAGCCAGACAGTAGACCACCATGGCGGGGCAGAAGACCACCAGAGCCAGACAGACCACCACGGCAGAGCGGAGGACCACCACGGCGGAGCAGAGGACCACCAGAGCCAGACAGTAGACCACCATGGCGGGGCAGAAGACCACCAGAGCCAGACAGACCACCACGGCAGAGCGGAGGACCACCACGGCGGAGCAGAGGACCACCAGAGCCAGACAGACCACCACGGCGGAGCAGAAGGAACAGGGAACCCCCCCGGTGAACCACACCGATCAGGACACCATGGCAAAGACTGTAATAATGAAAAAGCAGAGACAGACAACACAGACAGAACATTGGGGTTGACAGATAAGGCTAGGTGTTCAGAGGCAGCCTCCTTGGCTGGGTCGGGACAGGACAAAAGTTCACAAACGACCTCTTTGGCAGACACAAAGCATTCACAAACGGCCTCCATAGCCGTGACAGGACAGGATGAGGATTCCCTGACGGCCTCCATAGCCATGACAGGATGAGCAGGGAGTTCGCAAACGGCCTCTATAGCTGTGACAGGACGAGCAGAGAGTTCGCAAACGGCCTCTATAGCGGTGACAGGACGAACAGGGAGTTCGCAAACGGCCTCTATAGCTGTGACAGGATGAGCAGGGAGTTCGCAAACGGCCTCTATAGCTGTGACAGGATGAGCAGGGAGATCGCAAACGACCTCTATAACTGTGACAGGACAAGTAGAGAGTTCATAGACGGCCTCCTTGGCCAAAACAGAACAGGCTGAGAGTTCATAGGCGGCCTCCTTGGCCGGAACAGGACGGGCAGAGAGTTCATAGATGGCCTCCTTGGCCGGAAGAGAACAGGCAGAGAATCCTTAGCCGGAACAGGACAGGCAGAAAGTGCGTTGCTGGGCGCCACCACCACGCAAGGAACTGAG